AAAAAGGTGTGTGTGTGTGTATATATTTTTTATACACACACACATACAGAATATGAATTAAGCGATCCTACAAAACTACTAGCGGGAGTAGCAGCAACCTTGATAGCTCCCAGAAAAACACTCTAAGCCTACCGAAAGGGTTGGAAGAAAGAACCCTAAATCCTAAACTCTAAGTCCTCAACCCTACACACTGAACCCACGGCATTGTCAATGCCCTCCTCGACCGCCGCGGATCTGGGCGCAATGCCGTATTAGAGGCGCGTGTCCTTGTAGCTTCATTTACCAAGCTGAGGGCTTGTAGGGTTTCTCCTGAACCCTAAGCCCCCAAACCATTCAGGGTTTGGGGTTCCGGGTTTTGCTTTGACCGGGATTCCAGAACCTTGCTGCCTTGGAGTTCGTGTCAAAGAGGAACATTGATTGAGTCTTATGACATCCTAACCTTTGACAGCACTCAGCCTCCCCTAACCCTGAATCCCGACTGCACGCTGACCAGAGAACCCTACCGCAATCTACCAGCATCCACGTTTGTTGCAGGGCTTTAGTAGAAACCTGAGACTTGAAAATTTAGGGATCCGAGGAAAGTTGGTGAGATGAGGCAAACCCTGCGACAAGCTCTAAGCCCTAAACCCTGAAACCCTTGCTGTCTCCTCAAGGCATTGGCGTAGGCATTGACATCTGAAGCCTCGTCGCGATGCGGGGACTGTATGGCTCACAGTATAGTAGAGCTTAGGGCTGCGGGTGTGCGGTTTAAGTTTCGGCTCAAGTTGACATGTTGGGGTTCAGGGTAAAGGCTGGCGATTACCTGGATTGCAACCGTGGTTATTCTAATTGTGCGGCTTCCTCTTCCTCACGATCGTTGTGCACCAGACACGCCATCGAACTTCTTAGCTGTCGTTGTTAAGAGTGTGTGTGTGTGTGTCTGTGAAAAATACTACGATGATGCTTACGATTGTAACGAATGCAATTTCCCGATATGAAGAGGGCGGCCGCCTCACGTTTACCCTATGACGGGGCCCGCAAGGTGAACAACGGTCGGCTCAAGGGCTTAAGCCTTTTATTTGAGCGAGTGAGGTGGAGGTTGGACTCTAAACCTCTCTGAACCCTAAGGGTGAGGTTTGTAACAAGGATCTTGAATTTACAAAGCCCTTCGAGACTGGGAGATCGAAATTATGGCTTGAGTTATAGTGCGAGCATCAGCCTGAGCCTCGTACCAGGGCGCACTCTGCATGTTGCAAGAGGGTCGTTGGGGGCATAGTAGAATCATGATGCACGAGTGTTTAAGAGGATGCTATTTGTCCAGGCCCCTATGTTAAATCACTCAACAACACAGCCGAATCACGATGCCCGCTACCTTCCACTCACAAACACCGCCCTCACGCAACAAGCACCGCAATAGGGTTTAGAGCTTAAGGCCCAACGCCCACAAAACTAGTTCAACACCATCGATCCTGAAACCCCGGACCCACTTCAATCTCAAATCCTTGATTAAGGCGCAAACCCTCAAACCTTCGTAGAAAACAACGGACCCCATTAAGCGCGCACGCTTTCATGCCAACCGCAGAAAGATCACGAGTGTCAAGTGCAGCACCATCTCCTACGCTTTCAAGCGACTGGACTTTACTTTACTGCGTCCTTGATAGTTCCACGCTCAATGAAATAAATCATAGGGGTGTGCAGCATCATCTCCAGATTGTTGAACTGCAAGAAGTTTTAAGGTAGAAGTATGGAGAGGTGCATCGTGGTCCGACATGGATACAACCAGTGGCAACACGGCCACTATTTTATGAAAACTTGAAGACTTCGTGTATCTTCCGCCACTGTTCCGATGGCCGTTCGTCGGACGGCATTCAGAATCTCCGGCTTGGCAACGTCTGCGATCCATCCCCTAAGCCCTTAGCAAGAGGGAGGAGACCCTGTGAGACCACGAAGACGTGAAGTCCGAGCAGCCCGGAAGCCCGATATAGGGACCTCAATTTAGAATAGGGGCTTGGCGATATGTTGTGATATAACAAGTTTATTATACAAGCATCATCAGGGGACAGTATTAGTCCTTATTCCTCACAGCCCCTATATCAGATATCGAACCCCGAAATCCACCAGGCACCCGGGCCCCTGAGCGTCTCGATGCAGAGGGGCCTCACAGCTGCATGCAACAAGGCCGAGGCCGAGGTTCAGGGTTCAGGGTTCAGGGTTTAGGGTTTAGGGTTCAGGGGTTCAGGGGTTTAGGGTTCAGGGTTTAGGGGTTTAGGGTTGAGCATGACACGGACAGATAGAAACAGCGACAGCAATAAGTACTAAAGCTAATCTGCCTCTGGACGCGGTGGTTGTTGAAGTTTTGCCTGCTTCTTCATGTCAGCATTGGCCAAGAGTTCTTCTCCATTGCTTCAATGCCATCTTAGCAGGGGACTTGGGAACAAGCGCATTCTGCTCTTCAATCCTTACTATCCACCCTCTACTTCACCCTCCCCCCCTCCCGACATATCTTGAACCAACCCCAAACCAGAAACGCCTAAACGCCTGAATCCTTGACCCCACAGGCCAAACCCGCTTTGATAGCCGAGCTGCTCGTTTCAATTCCTTCCTTGCCGTGCTCTGTCTGCACTGGAACCTGCTCGGGGGTCGGGCTGTAGATGTGGCAGCTGCTTTCGGGTTTAGGGTTTTGGAATGAGGATTGAGGTTTAGGAATTAGGGTTTAGGACTG